GTACTTCATGCCATACACACACTTCACCAACCGCTGAGCAACTGCAGCAATGAGGCCGATGGATGCACCCTTGTCTGGTTGACAACGAATGACTACGAAAGTTATCCCATGCACATGTGCAACAGATGGCACGCATGTACATACATATGCAGGCGTATATGCGTAAAGGCACACTGGCAGTCCATATGCCCGTATGGAGTTTCGGTTCAGTACTCAAATGGCTTCACATTCTGCATTGTTGGAAAGAGTGCTGACAGTGTAAAGTGCGAGGCAGACACCGCCACAGCAGTATCGGTGGGACTAGTACGACTGGTTGCTGACTGTCCAGTTCACTTGATGTGTGCTTGCTGGTCACAAAGTGGACGGCACCCACATTTCAAAGGAGTGGCCCAGATGCGCCATCCCCTATAACAAACACGGTTGTTCCAGAAGGGTTACAATTGTGACCGAATTAACACACGTGTCAGCCATGATTGTCGCCCATGCCTTCACTTCCATGTGTTTCTTCTCCACCCATGCCACCAGCTTCTCTACTGACAGCACATTCCCCTCCGAGCATGCAGTCGTCGAGCGGATACAGTGTATCCTTCTGCAACCATCCTTGAGACTTGTGCCGGTATGAGCCGGCTGCCTTGTAACCCTTTTGGAACCACCCAGACCACACAAAGGGTTTAAGACAATAAGCCTCCCAATATTGGGTATTCACCCTAATCAGCCCTGGCAGCCGGTACTCTGAATTAATGCGACACACACGTGAACCCACCCCCTCCATCGTCAATCCCCATCATCACAAGGCCACCTGATTTGCCGCCTTAAGGCAAGCTTGTGTATGGCCCTCTACAAGACGGGGGGCCCGGTGAGGTCAGCCGCCAGTAGCTCCTTGTACCCAGGGCGGGAAAACACCTTGGGGTAGACGGGGCCGAATGTTAGCGAAGCAGCCTCTACCCACAGAAGCCCCTCAATGAGCGTGCCGGTGGGCCACTCGCAGGGATACACAGAACAGATTGAACAGCGAAAAGAAACGAAGGTCCACGCGAACCTCGCGTATTCTAGTATGGGCGCCGTACTTGTATACTTGCATGTCATCAGCCAAGCCTTATCATGACCTGCCTCGCTGTCTATGTTCTTGTATTCCATTGTTATACCTGATACAGTTTACACTAGCCACGACTCTAGGATACAGGACGGACCAATAGCTTCCGCGCCGTCTTGACCTGAACAAGTGCAACTCTATAGTTCCATAAGCTGGAAAATGGAACAAGACTTTCCCGGAAGTATTGAACTCCGGTGTGCTTTAGGGGATTCCTATGAACATCAGAGCCTAAACGTGATACCGCTTAGTTTTGAGCTGGGAGGTAACATGATATCAGCTAGCATGTTCAAGGAGCAGAATGCAATGTATTACTTTAAAGGCTGTTCGGGATCAGCCAGGAGGGCCTGGCCATCGGCGGGCCCGCGCCTGGCAAGGCGACCGCCACCAGCAACTTCATGACGCAGTTTCAGAAGAAGGTCTTGGACAAGATCCTGCGACCGTCGACTATCACTGCAGACCACGGTGCTGTGGCAGCCGCAGTGGGAGCTGAGGCAGTGGATACTGCGGCTAACGACGGTGATGGTGCAGCAGCGAGAGCAGCCGCTGGGGACCACGAACAGGCGGTGGGTGGCGGAGAGGCTGCTGCCATGGGCACGCATGCCGTGGATGGTGGCACGGGTGGCGGCCGCACAGCAGGCGTCGCAGCAGCAGCAACCGCAGGGGGGGACACCGGCACGGGTCCCAGGCAGGGCGAGGCGGGCGTTGCCCAGGTAGAAAACCTAGCAGTTTGGAACCTGGGGAGCATGTTTAACAAGGTCGAGGGGTGCTGATGGGTTATGTCAACTTTCAATGTCAGGGCAGCTTGTTGGGTCTTACCCTGATATTTTACCTTGAACGTAAGCACTGGGTGTTGCTGCCCCCCCCACCACAGGACGAGGATACCACCAACTATGATGCGTTCAAGGAGTGGGTCGGCGAGGTGCCAAGAGCGGCTAAGGGCGCAGCTGGCAAGCGCAGGCGGGGTGGCGGTGATGACGACGACCTGGGTGCGAGGTCGGGGTGCAAGGTTGGAAATAAACGGCAGAAGGGGAACAAGGGCGCAGGCCAGGGCAGGGGTGCAAGCAAGGGGACCACCAGAGGTGCGGGGAAGGGCGGCGCAGGCAAGGGAGGGCGGAGGGGGCGGACAGAGGAGTGGTAGCTCGGAGGGTGGGTCGGATGCTGGTGAGGAAGAGGTCCTAGCCGCTGGCGCTGGGGAGGAGTCCAGCTCGGAGGACCCGGGCAAATATAGCGAAGCTAGCAGCAGCAGCAGTGGCAGTGGCAGCAGCGACAGTGGTGGAAGTGAGCAGTAACATGGCAGC